GGGGGGTTCCGCCCACGCCCCCACCAACAGCCGCACCACGTCGGAAGGGGCCACCAACTGCGTGTGCCGCAACGGGTATTACCGGGCAGACGCCGATCCCGTCGACATGCCCTGCACCAGTACGTGGGCCCGGAGCAGCCAGGGATGGGGACTGCACTGGGATGGCCTAGAGAAAAATCCCTTTATCCCAAAGGGGATTTGGAGGGGCTACAGGGACCTTTTCCAGCGTGGCACAAGTGCAAACAGGGTCAGCACGTGCATGCTGGAGAAAGGGAAAAGGGGGAAGCAAAGGATGGATAATTGGTCCCATCCGGCACCGTCCTTGTCTGAGAGATGATGCTGAGAAGTCTTTTTTCCCCGTCTCAAATTGGGGGTGCTGGTACCCACTGGTACCCATGATGGGCAGTGGTTCTCACTCCTCCTCTCTTCCCTTTGCAGCCATCCCCTCTGCCCCCCAGGCCGTGATCTCCAGCGTGAACGAGACCTCCCTGATGCTGGAGTGGAGCCCCCCGCGCGACTCGGGGGGCCGCGAGGACCTGGTGTACAACATCATCTGCAAGAGCTGCGGCTCCGGCCGCGGCGCCTGCACGCGCTGCGGGGACAACGTGCAGTTCGCCCCGCGCCAGCTGGGCCTCACGGAGCCGCGCGTCTACATCAGCGACCTGCTGGCCCACACGCAGTACACCTTCGAGATCCAGGCGGTCAACGGGGTCACCGACCAGAGCCCCTTTTCCCCGCAGTTCGCCTCCGTCAACATCACCACCAACCAAGCTGGTAAGCAACGTATCTACCACCACTTCTCCCCACTTTGAGACTCCATGAAGGGGACGTTGTGGCTGGGGTGGTTCTCCTGCTCATGATGTGTTGGGTGAGGCATCAAGAGGTGATGGGTGAGTAGGGTTTCCAGAGAACAGAAGGTGGGGTGGGTTGTAGCAGAATGTCTCTTGCCTGATGGTGTTTCCAAGGTTGACACCAGCAAGAGCAACCCCCCCAAAATACTTCTACTATGATTCCATCAGTTGGATTGATTCTGTGACTCTGTCGGTTGGACTTGATGATCTTGGAGGTCTTTTCCAACCATAATGAGTCTATGATTCTGTATTGCAGCCCTGCTGGCTGCTGGGGCTATTGGAAACACAGCAGCAGCTCTCAGCATTGCTGGCAGCCCCGCGATGGGCCCTCTTATGGCTCTTGGTTCCCGCGAAGCAAACAAAATTAGCATGAGCATCTTGACACAAGCTGCACTGATTGCAGAAAAAAATCGTGGCTCCTTGCCCAAGAGCCAGAGCTGGTCTTCAGCACAGAAGAGCTGCACAGAAAAGAGCTGTGAGCCAGATAGAAGGGAAGGAAAGAAAGGGAAGGAAGGTTATTTGGAAAGTTGTCCCGGGCAGATCGTGTGCCATCTCACTGCAAAGTCTTTGCTTAATCTAATTGCTCGCTGGAAGCACACGGATCCAGAGGAAGCGTGTGTGGGGACAGGTGATCTTAAGTCAACTCAGAGGTCACGGGACTACCTGGGGTTTTAATATGGTGTTGAGACGCCTGAAGGCAGAGTTAGCTTAGCATTGGCCCATGGTTTGATTAGGAACGGGAGTGTGTCCACGCACGAGAAGGAAACTGGGTCCTTCACCCAACTGCCTGGAAAAGCTGAAGTTGCAGATGTTTTTTTTTCCCCTTTTCTCTTTTTTTTTCTTTTCCCCAGTGCCCTGGATCCTCCTCCGTGTGTTTTTTCCTCCTTTGACACTCCTTTATTATCAGGGCTCCCACTTCTCAGCCTGTGTGATGTCTCTCTTAATGTATCTATTCATTAGCCCTAAACAGTAACTGTCTGCTTGCTAATTCCTCCGTAATTAGGGGCTCCGAATTCTTATGCTTACACTCAGCACCGCCTGGCAGCCTTGATGTAGATCATTAGTGGCTGGTAACAGAAGCAGCAGATGTAAAGACAGAGCCAGGACAAGGGAAAATTGAGGGTGTTGTGCTAAAAGGAGATGGGGCATCTCCACCAGGGATGACGTAAGGCTGGAAGGAGATGGGAAGCCCTAAAGGATGGAGCTGAGGAGTGTGCGCAGACCACAAATAGCATGAATTGCCCTGGTTGACCCAGGGATAATATGTCGGGGCATGGCCACAACTAGCAACATCTTTAACATTCAGCTATCCCAATTTCTTCAGCATCCCAGGAAAATGCTGCTGTGAGAGAGCTGGGAAATCATCCCCGTAGAGGAGAGTACGACTAGAGAAACGGCATTGGAGTGGGCATAGTGGTATAAGTGGTCCCAAAAGAGAAGCTGTAGGTCAAGGAGAGTCATCTAAAGTTCACTTTCCTCTTTGTCCAAAGATGACGGCCATCCCTGCTGTTGCATCTCCCGCAGGGTTTAAGTACTGCTGTCATTGAAAACCTCCAGCTTCCCTCGGCCTGGATTTCACTAACGTTCACTTTACATTGTTCAAACTTATTTTCCTATTGCCTTGTGGTAGCAACAGCAGTACTAGGTAGAAGGGACACTTCTGCTCGTGGAGATGCAGACTGCAAATAGGTTCTTTCCAAGAAAAATAAGGGTAATTACCCCTAGCTAAATCATCCTGGCTTGGTATTAGGTGGGTTTTCGGAACACGGCTCTTTCTATAGCTCTTCTTAGACACCCATATTCTCCATCATCATTTCATCATTTTTTTTCAAATTATATGCTGTTCCCAGCAAACAAACTACTTTGCTTTCTCGAGTCACCGTTTCCCTTTTATCCACCCAAAGATGGTGCTACCTCACTCAGCTGTGCAGGATGCTCCTGGCCTGGTGGTTTCTATGACAACGTCTTGGTCCCTTCAGACACTGCTCTGCTTGATGCCATCTCCCATTCATCAAGCAAGACCCACATTTGGGTTTCCAGACCCAAACATAACCCGATAACTATTTTCATGGGCAGAGTCATCAGGCTGTGCTCATTGCTCTGCAGAGCTGTTACGGTTCCCAACGCTGCCATTTTGGACTTTTTATGGACATTTTGCCAGCACTGATTTTGCATCATCTTCCAAATCTGATAATTGTAACGAGAAGCACGGAGTCAAGGGCATGAGCTACCCGCAATCTGCTGGATACACTCCGAGTCCCTCTTTAGTGCCAACCTTCTTACAACAGCCTGGTTTAAAACTAAATCCACACATTGCAGACGATACGGATACAGGGCAGCATATTTCATGCTAACCCAAGGCTCATGGGTCTTGACCAGGAGGGAGCTCCCGGCCTTTCCATGCGGTACATTCGGACTAAAGGACTGTGATGAACATGTCACATGGATCCCAGATGCCACCAAGAGCCTCTTCTCAGCCATGCCAGAGCAAAAGCTCTGGGCCAAGAGGGTAGCCGAGAGGCAAGCAGAGAGTCCTGCCAGCATGCCAGGAGGGAAGGAGCTGCAAGGATGCCAAGGGTCAAGATGCAGAGCGGTGCCTGCAATGATGACACCCGAGCAATCAAGCTGTGCTGTGTCTCGTCCCCCTGGCTGGTGACAACCTGCAGCCCGTGCTTGCTAATAGGAGGCCACCAGTTGGGAGAGGCAGAGCCTCTTGCTGCTGGGAGCATCTCCATAGGTTGAACGTCCTGGGACGAGCGAGGGATGCTCCGTGGGCAGGTTGAATATCTCCAGCAGCTCCTTGCCATGGTAGCAGACCCAATTCTTCTTCCAGGGAAGGGAAGCGAAGGGAAGGGCACATTCTTGAGTTCCTAAAACCTGCTGCCGCTTGACATCTGCGACGTTGCAGATGAGCAAGGCTCAGGGGTCCAAGCAGGTGCCCCACAGCAGGCATCACCTGAGCTTTCATTGGAAAATATTTCCCTGGCCCAAGCTCTGTATGCTGAAACATTCCAAATCGGGATTTTCTTAACAACAGTTTTGGTTTCAGTTAACCAGCATTTTTCTGGGGAAACAGCGTTTTTGTGGAAAATGCGCGGGGCAAGTTGGAAGGGACGCAGGGCCGGCTCCTGCCAGCTCCCCTGCTTGCTGCCAGCCCCACTTGGAAGAGCCGGCGTTTCCATGCAGAGCGCGGGCCAGGAGGCGGGGATGCCCCGGGCACGCGGTGCCCCCCTCGCCGGATCCGGGATGCTCCTCGCAGCAGCGCGAACAACGTCCTGCCCTCCCCGGCCGCCTGCAAACGGCGGCTGCAAACTCAGCAAGACAAAGAGCCCAACGGCGGCCAAGAGGCTTTCGTGTGCCCGAGCCAAGTGACGGGGCTGGTGGCATTAGGAGCCGCTTTCAGGGCTGTAATCCACACCAAAGGCTTCCGTGATTCAAGTGGGGCCAGAGCCAGGACCCAGCTTTGGGCTCCACTCCTGGAGTTTTTCAAGATTTTTTTTTTTCTTTAACCGGCATTTGTAGCTGCAAACTGGAGAGGTTGGAGCACTGGGTCGAATGGGACATTTTCCAGACGCTCGACACACGAGTCTACGCCTGGCACTGTCCCCTTGCCAGCCAGAGACCGGGTCCATGCACGTGGCCGCGGCGGTGGCAGTGGATTTCCCAACCCTGTGGCTTTTCTATGCTCTAAGGCAGGCGGTGATTGATAAATCACCATAGGGCTGTCACCTCTTTGCAAATCTTTCCCCAGCTTCAGCTGGCGAGGATCCATCTCCAAAGGAACTGCCTTGTAAAAGTGCCACCACGGGGAAGGAGAGCATGGATAGATGAAGATTTTAATAGTCCATGCGATGCTGGACCTTTCAGCAGCAGCAGGTCAGGGACACAGAGGTGCTGGGGGACAGATGGGGAGCGGGGCAGGAGGATTTTAGCCCTGCACAGAGCCCTTGCAAGCTTGTGACATGTGCCACCAGTGCCAAAGCCTGGATGCCAGCCGAGATGTCACCAAGCCCTGTGATTTCAAGGTCTAGGAAGCCCTTGCTGCAAGCCCAACCACAGAACATCCCTCCTTATGGCACCAAAGTCACCTCTTAGTCTCAGGAAGACAAATTCCTCCTGTTTCACCCTTTTCCATGCACCTCCGGCAGTTGCAGGAGGTTGTGTGCTCTTTTTCCAGCGATTTTTCCCTATCCGCTCCCTGCTCTGTCCCTCGGCCTCGCCGGTGCCTCGCAGCATCCCGGTGCGTTTTCCTGCCGCTCCGGCTGCAGCCGGAGGTCAGGCGCTTAATCCCGACCCCAGATCGCAGCCGCTCCTGCCGGCGGGTAATTGAAAATGCCACAATTCCCTGCTGACCCTCTTATTATAAAAGCAGTTCCCAGGCCAGTAACCTGACACTCCAGGGACCGGGATCTGTCAGAAAGGCTCAGAGGAGATGCTGGAAAACTCCCAGCTGTTCACCTCTTTTTTTCCCCCTTTTTTTTCCCCTGGATAACTTCAAAATGCTGCCGAGGAGAGGCCACGGGCTGGTTTCTCTGTGTCGGGACTGTTTTCCAGAGCAAATGTTGACTCTGTCTGACACGACATGGGTTAGTGGTATTAAAGTGATCAGAGATAGGGCTTTGGCTGCCTGTAACGTGACTCTTGCAGCTAAGCTGGGAAAGCAACGGAGACCCTTTGATATAGCCCTGACCCCCCGGCAGGCCAGGAGGGGCCGGCTGAGTCCCGCCAGCCCAGCAGGTGAAGGAGCCAGGGGGTTAACTGCAAAAATAGGGGGGTGGGCTGCAACGGGCCACCCGCATCATAGATGAGAAGTTGGAGAAAGATGCTCTGAAATCTTTAAAAACCCTGGAGAAAAGTGGGCCTGGGTATTTCTCATGCATCTCATGCACTTCTTTGTTCTCTGATGCCCCCCTTGCTGCTTCCTTTTTGGTGCAAGAGGGAGGCAGCCGTTCAAAACTCATCTCCCTTCTACCTGCCAGATCCATTGACTTCTGTTTTTCAGTCTAAGTTTCTTCCAGCTCCAATATGTTTGGTTTCTAAGTCAAAATATGTTTTTCTTAAGGCAGCTGGGGTTCCAGAAGTCCTACAGCTGTAGTAACATCAGAGACAAGGTGATGTTTTCCCTGTCACCTACATCCTTCTGGAAGGGTTGCACCTCTCACTTGCCATTAGGTAACAGAAAAGAAGAAAAAGAAAATGTTAGGATCCCTCATTTCTTCCACAGCAACAACACTCCTCCGCTGTTTAGCTCGTGAAAGCAGACAAGATCCAACATATGGAAGTCCATACATTTCAACCTGAAAATAATACATGCTGACTAAGTAACCATGAAGAAAACCTCCCCAGAGACACAGTGGGCTCTTCGAATTTGCAGAACTTACAGAAAATTAGATGTCTGTCTGTAACACAGGCACTGGGTCAGCCACAAACATGGCAGCTCTGCATAAATCACTGCCTGGACTCCCCGGCCAGCCTTGTGCAGATGATCCCACCTGGGCGTTACAGTCATATTTTTTGCAATTTGCTGCCAAATCAACATGTTCTTGCCCTGGCTCATCAAGCTACCCTGGTTTTTGCAGGCAGAAAACTCCGATTTCATTCTTATTTTTTTATGTAAAGTGCTTCACAGCCACTAGTGCATTAAATAAGGATTTGTTTTCCCAGAACACCTTCATTTCTCAGCTATCTGGAAAGACCCGGAGCAGGGAGGATCTACCCCATCCGTGCATCCTCGGGGGACCGACACGGAAATTTTTTTCCGGTTCGCGTATCCTTCAGCCGTAATCCCGGGGCTGGAAGCGGAGCCAAGTCCTCCTCTCGGCTCCCTCTGCCCGGCGCAGTTATGGACTCCAGATGCAGGAGTGGAGGACGGGGAGGCTCTGCTGCGGTGCCTGGGGGCACTGCGTCTCTGTCATGGATCAGAAGGAAACCTTGGAAGAACTTGAGCTTTTCACAGGGACCAAAGTTTTTGCATTAGTCTTCAGGAGAAATGTTTTTAGAAGAAAAAAAAAATAAAAAGAGTTGAATATGCCTCAACTAGGGTTGTAGGATCCACATCTTTCCAAGCAGGAAAGCCTTCAGCATGCGATAACAGAAGGGTTTGTTCAATGCTCCGGGCATGTCCAACCTGAGGCATGGAGGTGCATTCGTCCTCTCTGCAGTCAGAGATGCCTCCAAGCCGGCAAGCTCTGCTCAGCCTCAGTTTTTGCATCCTGTTGCATTAAGATAAACTGCATTAAACATGAGGATAAATTGCAGTGGGTGCCGGGCAAAGGCTGCACCTGGGAAGCAGCACGGCCGCTCGGTGCCTTTTGCTGCAAGGAAACAAAGCAGAGTGGCTGCTCGGGGAGCAAGGTGACCCATCCTGCAGGGCCAGGTTAAATGCTGCCAGGGGACCTGACTTTAGCAGCCTGTGCTCTGGGAAGTGCTGCAAAGACCCAGCTCAAAGTAGCTCGAAGAACAGAGACACTCTTCCTTTTTGCTTCTTTTCTCAGTTTGTTGCATCTTTGCTTTGAAATGCTTAAAAAAAAAAGAAAAAGCCAATGGAGGGAACCTGTGTCTAGTTTGCTTAGAAGCAACAGTTCAGCAAAGTCTAAAGATGTAAATCTCTCGCTGTTTTTTTTTTTTCTGTTGTGTTGGTCACGTAGCAGAAAAGCTCTTTGGACGTCGTCATTCAGCCTGGTGCACAAAGGTCCCTGGTGCTCCTGCCAGCAGCGGAGCAGACCTGGCACCACGTGTCCCTCAGCCAGTTTGGATGCTCTTTGTGTTCACTTTAACTGAATTACCTTCTGTTCTCATCTCCTTCCTTTAGCACTATTATATTACATGCTTTAAACACTGCAGAGGGACCAGGCCCCTAAGCACAGCCTCCGTCTCTGAAAGTCCTCAGCTAAATTAGATAAGACAGGCAGGGGGTGAACACCAGACAGGATGGCTCTCCTCGTTTTCCAGGTAGAAAACGTCAGTGCAGAGGGATAGCGTGTGTTCATGCAGGGGCCAGACCAAGAAGCAGAACTGCAATCAGGTCCTTCCCAGCCTGGGAGCGGAGACGAGTCAGAAGCTCATGATTCATCGTTAGGTGATTCCAACGCAGCGCTCCATTCTAGGGATACAAGCTGCCGGATACCATCTGCCCGAGCGTTCGTGTGCCTCCCTGTCCGGAAGCTTTTCCCAGCGACGAGGCTTTGGAAAGTCACCCTGAGGTCTCTGATAATGAGGGGGTTAGTGAGAGGATGGAGGTTCCTGGCAGAACGAAGCCGCCCCTCTCCAGGTGCAGGGAGAGCCCTGGCCTTGCGTTGGGTTCCATCCTCAACATGCTGCTGCACGTGCCTTACCCTTATTGCTTGTTCCTCAGCTGTAGCACTTCTCCAGAGCAAGAAGGCTGCATTTGCTCCAACCCTGTGCTCCTTTTACCAGGGTGGTGAGATCCTCCAGGATCTCCACCAGGAGGATCTCTTTCCAGCTTTCCTGCCAGAGGTGCTGGTCTACATTGGTCCTAATGACAAACTCTTGGGGAACTGTAGAAATGTTTGGTCCTTCCCTAACTGCTTTCTTCAAACAGCAAAAGTGTGGGTCTCCTAAATCCTGGGCAGCCCTATCAGTGCTGGAAGAGAATTC